AGTTCTGGCAGGAACATACAACTATGCGTTATATTGTTGCAGTGTTACGTTGGCCATTCGCGGCCGCCAAGTCGGGACAAAGAAAAGGTTAAGGATACAAGGTGAACCAGCGTAAAGGATAAGTTAAACTTTTACGTGTTATTTTGGAAAGTATTGTTATTTTAAAAACATTGATTTTTTAACACATGACTTAGATAAATACGAGTCGAAATATCCAAAGTTTAGTTCGTAGTTGTATGACTTATCCTGAAAAATAATTTCTATCATGGCCATATTAGTGGGAAGGGTACCGAGGCTCCGCGGGCCGCGTTACATCAGGGTTCTCGGGATTGTAATCGCAACACAGAACTAAACAATATAATATAGTAAGCAGCTATTCTTTGAACTGATTCGAGTTGTTGAACTTATCTCAGTTTTGCATACTTAACATATTAATATGACCAATCTACGTTTTAGCTCGTTGACTTTAATATTTTTATAGTTCTTTTTGATAGACAATTGTTTTGTGTTTTAAAGTAAAACAAAATAAACAATTGTAAAAGCGGAGGCGACGAATGTTATAGAAGGACTTGCCGTGTCGGCGAGCTCGGTGGCGCGGCGGCGGCTTGCGGTGGGCGGCCGAAGTCGTTTTATAGGTCCTAGAGCAACTCCAAGTTATTACCTGGCTGAGGTAATGCCTGAGATCACTTGCTAATACCATAATCCACGCTCACGTCATCCGACTCGCCGCGCCGTAAATATACCTTAATAAAATCAAATCGTTCACAGACTAATGGACGTTTCACTTTGTTTTGTTTTGATTTCCTTTACTTTGACTTTTAAGCTATATTTATTGTATAATATCATCATACCAAGTACTTAATTAATTAATGTGGAACAAAACACGTTACTTATTTTATTGTACACAAATAACCAAAGTCAAATTATTGAATAAATAATAATTCAATCAGCAAACTGTTGGCCGTCGAGTTGAAAGTTGAGTAAACACAATAGATGGCTGATAACTTTGTTAATATCGTAAATACTAGTATTGTGCTGCGAGTCTTTATTATACATACCTACATATGTATGTTGCTGTTATATAGGACAGCTTTCAATATCTGCTGGAGGCTTCGTTAGATGTTCTTTAGTATTCAATGGAGATGTGCGCGGAAACATTCGGGGCGCGGGCGCGGTATAACTGACAACGGCGCGGATATGGTGTTTGAATTCACATTTCTATGGCGAATGAGAAAGTAGGTGGAGTAGTGAACTAGAACGGTAAATATCCTTCAAACAGATCCTTTTACTAATGTTCTTTGACAAAGATACTATTTATGACTATTCACATTTTTGGCATTCCATTTTATCATACCAATAATTAGCTGTTGTAAAATTTTACAATAATTACTTTATTATTTTATATCTCTATACTAAGTTAACTAAAAGAAAAAGTTGGTGTAAAAGTGCACTCTTGAACAACATCGAAAGAAAGAATAAATAAGCAAGAGTAACCGTGAAGGTAACACATAAACATCCCAAATTTTAAACTACGTTAAGGCGTAAGCGTTGCTGTATCGGCCAGCTCAGGCCGATTCACTATAGGTCGCACATTTGCATATCGTTACGCTTCTTATATCATTATCTTCGCATACCTGTTTCATGCATCCATAGATCATCTTACGCAGACTCGTTAAATAAATATTACTTTCCCGATGAGTTACAAGAGACATACAAGTTTTACAGAGAGGGCAGGCGTCATCTTGATGTCACGATCAAAGAAAAATAACAGAGCTTGGGAAAAGGCATTCTAATTAAAGATTAACTTTATTATTTGTTATTTACATTACGTCAAAATTACAGTTTAGAAATGCTTATCTAATGGAAGTTGTTATTAAATTATGTTTCGTACAATGTAATACGAAAGCAATGCAAGAGACTTTATACAGTGTGTGTGTAAAGGCACAGTTACTTTAACAATAATATTTTTAAACGAATGCATAAATAAATCAATAAAGCGTTGACCAATACGATTAAGTTTCAACAGAATAAAATTTTGTGTAATATTTGGTTAAATAAATTTGTGGTCCCTTTTATATTTATCGCTGAGGGAAAGCTTATAAAATTTACGGTCTTGTAATACATATTTCTGATACACAGAGAACGTCGCTATAAGCACATCAATATACATTAAGGGCTTTAAAGTAGGTTTATATCCGATCTTGTATACTTTGCCTTATATTTCTTAAAGTTAAATAATAAATGTATCGTGCTACAATACTACTAAGCATTTTGTACATTATCGTGAAAGAAAAAATCCATAATTTTTGTCAAATGTTCGACCTCTGAGAGTCTCTTGCACTGTAAGTAAACGCACACATGGTCTATAAGACGTATCTCCTCTATGAGACGTAGTCAAACCGTGTTGAGGGGCGCGGCGCACGGTTCAAGGGCCGCCGCGTGCCCTCACACAGCCTGACCGCTGCAACACTGCCATTGTACTCGTAACACTTCTTGTGAACACTTTCGTTCTCATCACTTTTCTAGTAATAACTTAGTCATTAACCTCTTCAAATACGCATTTTTAAATGATACTTTACTTAATTTTTCTCAAAAGCGCAGCAATTGACCGCTACGTTTTAAAAAGGATACAATTTCGAATTCAGCGTTGTATTGAAATTAATTTGCAATAATTATTTACTTTTTAATGATGGCTAACGCTTAAATGCAAGCTTACTTCTGCTTTATTTTATGACTTGAAGATAATAAATATAATTATAATTACTTAGTTCGTTGATCAATTTTCTGGTAAATCTTTTCCCAAGACTATGCCAAGTAATTGGGTGTATGGATCTACACGTTAGAATATTTAGTTAGACGTGTGCGCGTGCGCAATCTGTTCCTTAATTATTTCCATTTTAAATCCCATTCGTGGTGATCACTTACAGCGCGCAATGAAGACATATGCCATCGTTTATTAACCATTCATCAAAGATGTCCTCCCACTGCACTCAGCAGAGTAGCAACACACCACGTAACATTTGGTGAAGTTACAATGACGATCTATTTACCCGTGTCTTTACACTTGCACTTTTTTATCAGTTTTAAAGTATTATTCAATTTTAATTGATTTAAAAAAAAATAAAAAAATCAAACAGTTATTTCGTGTGGTTACATCAGACCATAAATATTGCTTTTATCATAAGTGTTGTTTAGGTTGGTATCGTCGAATCCTTTTAGTTAGGCAACGGTTAACTGCTGTCGTAGTTCACTACACGAGGTAGGAATGTGTCTGCGTCACATCACACAATTATCCCCGCCCTTGTGTTGTGTTCATGAATGTGTCTCATTAGTCGTAGAAGCATAACTTTCATTTGACAAAAGTAAAAAACCCGACTGACAGCCTCTAGATGAAACAGCGCCATCTATTGGCTGCATTTAAAACAGACATTTACATGTTTTAATTTAAACTTAATTATAACTAACGTTTATAAGTAACACTTTCTTATATTATGATATATATATATATATATATATATATATATATATACTTGAAATCGAAGATTCAGCAATCTAATAAAGAGTTATTGACGAGCTAGTATCCAACTCGTTTACTAATTTAGATTTTTATTTCTTACGTCTACTGCATGTGTTTTCTTCCGATGTAATATACAATACAATACAATATGAGAATCCGAAAAGAAGAAGGGGGAATTGACATACAATAAAAAACTTTACATACACAAATGATCCTCCTGTCAGTCAGACAAAAATCATTATATTCTTGTCCGTCAGGTAAAAACAGTTGAACTATGTAA